TAAATTATTTATACATTTTCTTGATGCCAAGTGTGATGGAATCTCTTTATGCCGACTCATATTGTGTCTCTAAATAGATTCTTCCTGTGATTAGTTCGAGCATTTAAAATTAGAAGAACCACTGTTCGGCCACGAGAGCTGCGCTATCATTAAAAGCATAGCTTCTAACAAACTACTATTTGTCAATCGTAGGGTGAATTGCAAGTAACAAGAGACAAGGGCAGTAATAAAAATATCATCCACTCCTTAATACAGGATTTAAGTGTTGACTTGATTTTAGTTTTAAATGTAAAATTTATTTTTCATATTTGTTAATTTTTTTAAAAATTATTTTTATTAATACTCTTTCAACCACAATTAAGGAAGAGAAAGAAGGAGAATTTAAAGAAAGATAATTATAGTGTTTTAAAAAAAAAACATTTCATATTTTTTATAATTAATGAACTTATCTAATTTTTTTTAATCTAATCAAATTAATTACGTATGTTTTATATTAAGGGCCGTTGTGTATATTTTTAGGAAGAAAGAGACAAAAACATCCTAAATCTACCAATTTCAATTTAGAACTCCGAAAAAGTGTAATCATTTATCATTGTGATTTCATAGGGATTAGTTTGGGATTGAATTTTATAACAAAATTACCTAAATGCCTTTAAGTTGATGTCTAGTAATCTGCTATCACTTGTCAATGGTCAGAAATTTCTGTGAAATTGATTGTCATTATCTTAGTTATTGCTATCACTTGTCAATGGTCAGAAATTTCTGTGAAATTGATTGTCATTATCTTAGTTATTGTCGTTTGATACATTAAAGTTGTATGTTGGCAAAAAATTATAATAAATTTTAAAAGAATTATATTTTGTGCTGTTACTTTAATGCTTCTTCAAGGTGACGCAATAACCTAAACCATTCAGTCCGCGAAATGATTAATTTCTCACGTTTGTTCACGCAATTGAGTAACTCATCATAACTTGAGCTTCATCATCAAATCGTCATCTATCAATCTTATTTCAACAAGAATGCTTTAGTTTATTTTCATTACATTTTTATTTATTCGGTTGATTATGATTATCATACAAGAGCATTCGACCCCAAAGAGTTTGAGTAACTTTTAAATCATCAAAACACTTGCTTGCTATCAACTGCACATTGACCATTGAGCCAGTCAAATCAAAATTATGCGAATGATGTCAATTAGAAAATCAATCTCTACTTTCTTATAATTTATCTCAATTTTAAATCATATTTTTATATCTTATTTTGTTTAAAGGGTTAAAATGTAAATTTACTCATGAAATATTCTGTTAGGGGCATCGAACATCATAAATTTTTCTTAGATACAAAAGTACACATGAATTTTTTAAAATGGTGCAAAAATAATTTGACTACTAAGTCAACTAACATTGACTGTTTAATGAACATGTCAACAAAAAAACGGTACAAATATACACATAAACTTTTTGAAATGGTATAAAAATATATATGAAGTTTTCAACGACGGTGGCATTTTTGCATCATTTTGAAAATGTTATATGTATTTTTGCACTATTTTCTTGTCCTACATATTTGCCGAACTGTCAATGTTAATGGACTTAATGGCCATGGCATTTTTCATCATTTTAAAAATTTCATATATATTTTTGTACTTGGAAAAAATATATGGTGCTAGACACCCATGATGAAATATTTTATAGGTAGATCTACATCTTAAATCTTATTTAAATTGGACATTGTAAGCATTTCTTCTCGAGTATAAAACTTTTTAGTTTTAAATTATAGAATTTCATGAATTTTATGAAATTTCTATCGTCTCATTTAACACTCTTCTAACACCCCATATCTCTCTCTCTATATGAAATTTTATAAAATCGATAAATTAAATTTTAGAGATAAAAAATTGTTCCAATTTAAACAAACTAAACTACAGGAACTAAATTTAAAATTGAGGTAAGCTTTATGGACCTATAAATTAATTTTTTTCCTTATCAATGTTTGGAGAAAATGATATAGAGATATGATTATACGGGACGGTTTTTACTAATCTTTGCAGATAATTTTTCTTATTTCTTGAGCTCCATTATACCCCTCAGATCTTGAATATAAGCCATTTATAGGAGGAGGTTTTGGTCTTAAATGTAAATTACTTGTAATATATCTAATGCTTATTTTTAATTATACTCTTATTTAATTCTTATTAAGAAAAGAGAAATAAAGGAGAGATCTATGAGAATGATTGATAAATGTAGAAAGAGGAATTTTTTTTAATGAGGGTAAATTAAATTTTTTTTGTTAATTTAATACATTTCTTGATATGCAAAAATATGTTATAAGTGACTTGTATAACAAGTAGAATAATATATATCAAATAGCTATCATGATTTAAAAAATAAATTAATTAGTTATAGGGCGCAGCATAAATATATGGTAATAATGAAAGTAATCAAACAAGTACAACAACCCACCAAAGAAAAGTCACTGGGCTTACCTTCCCCAATATGCCAAACCCTTTAGCCCTGAGACATAAGTTATGTGTGGGGGACCGCTAGAGCCGTCAAAACGGGCCAAGCCCATCGGGCCGGCCCTTTTAAGCCCTTTTAAATAGAGGACCGGGCTTGTATTTTAGGTGGTTTAAAAGGAAATTGGGCTTAAAAGGGCTAGCCCTATAGGGCTCAAAAATAAAAGGGCCAACCCTTTAGGGCCAAGGGCTAGCCCTTCTAAGCCCGCCTATTTTTTTTAATTATTATCAATATATTTATAAAGTTATAGATTAGTCTTTTATGAATAAGTTTAAATTAGAAAAATATCTAGAAGAATCAATACTCAAGCTAGATAATTGAAAAGAATTAAATGTCTTGAACTTGTGGAAGAACAATTAAAATCAATTTTCAATTCTTTCAAGAATGGTAACTAATATTCTTAACATTTTAATCACCATAATAGCTAGTAGATTTCATTTACCATCGGTTTATATATCTTAACAAAGTGTAAAACTTTTCTTATTCGAACAAATGTTCAAGTTCTTATTTGTACTTATAACTACTGCATAGTTTTATTTTATATAAGGTAAATGAAAACAAAAACCTTAATATTTTTATCACTGAAGAAGAGCTCACTTGTAGTAAAGAACAATCAAATATTGCTGATCTTGATGATACTGATGAAGATGAAGATAAAGATAATAATTATGTTGATATTGTTAATATTTAACTGCTAGATTTTATCTTTCTATTTTTCGTGTTTTGTTAGATTTTGATTTTTTTTATTTTGGACAATAGTTTATTGGCATTTAATTTTTTTTTCTATACACCACTAATTTATTTTACTTATATTTATAATTTGAATAAAAAATCTTAGAAGTTTTGTTGTTTTATTTTTTATTTTAAAATAATTAAAAAGAATTTAAATTTTAAAAAATAACATAAAAGGGCCAGCCCTTTTAAGCCCTGAGCCCGCATGCCTAAGGGCCGGACTTTAATAATTAGATAATTTTAAGGTATGTGGGCTTTAAAGGGCTGGCCCTTTTAGGCCCTGGCCCTTCAAGGGCTAGCCCTTTAGGGCCGGGCTGGCCCTTATTGACAGCTCTAGGGACCGCCGCCTTTTTTTCATTATCAGCATATAATTTCATCATTTTTTAATTAAATGTTAAATAAATGACTAAAAGCAAAACAACCTGCCTCTGCTTGCTTGCTTGCTTCCCTTTTCAAAATACCTTCTACACAACCTCAATCTTGAACAGGTCCCATAAGTATCAAGTTGGTAACCCCTTCCTTTTCTGTCAGGTCAGGTTATATTATATATATTCAACAGCACAATTAATTACCAATCTGCCTAATAATATTATGGCTTAAATTAATGTTCAATTTTATATTCTATGTTTTCTTACACATTCTTTTTTTCCATTCTATACAATTTAAAGACGCGCACATAAACATGTTAACATTGGACTTAAACATGAAACATCGTCCAAGCACAGTGATCGACATTGCCACTGGAGAACTAATAGTTTTTCTTCAAATCATTTGCTTTTTTCTAGTTGAAAACAAATTTTAATTTAATTTATATTGAATGATTTTATTTTGTCTGAAAAAAGAGAGAAAATTAATGATGACTTTCATAGTCTCGAATTTAAATTCGCATTAATACAAAAAAAGAAAGGGGCTTGTGGAGGAGTTATTCCTAATTGAGTATGATGAGTGTGACTCAGTGAGATGACTATATGAAAACTGATCCTATATACTCTTTCGATTCTAAATGTAAAACTTAATATCTTATCTCTTTTTCTACTTGATTATGGTTCAGAGAGTATCCATAAGAATAATTTAAAAAAATTTAATAAATATGAGAAATATGTCTTATATTTAGGATTATAATTAACTTAACAATTATGTCCTATATTAAGGACCAGAGGAGTATTATTTATGGGTTAGATAGAGAAGGTTTTTATTTTTTCTGGCTGTAAAATAGAAAAGATTGATAATTCCATTGAAAGTTTTACTTCATATGGTCGGCAAGAGAAGAAAATATTTTACTTTTTTTAATCTAAGCTTGTTTAGAAATTATTTAATTAAAATCTAATTCTTATTGAGTTTGGAAAAATATTCAAAAGGAAAAGAAAATGAGAGTATACTAATAGGATTTGTATCTACCCAATAGCCAGATAGATATTCTATTCACACGATCCTCAATTATCAAACACATAAATGTTTAGAGCTCAAGACTGCCTGCGGTCCTAATTATAAATTAGTATCCTCGTAATATTAATATAATGAAATAATAATTAATTACTTAAGTATAATTTAATAACGTGATTTATGTTTGATTATGTCTCTAAAATGGGAAAAAAAAATCCAAATTGGGCGTCACAAGCATGAGGCGATAATGAAATGTGACAAATCATTTTCTTATCAAATCTTAGTTACGCCCTCTTCTTTCCATGTCTCTTTATCAAAGCTTTTCCTCTTCCCTTTTTATATCCCTCACAGAAAACGCCTTCATTCGTCCTCCTCCTCCACCTCCTTCTTCTTCTTCTTCTGAATCTTAACAATCCAACGCCTCCCAACTCAAACGTCGTCCTCGTCTTCTTCAATGGAACCAACCATAAAAGCCCTATTCCCTCCTATTCTCTTTCTGTTTTTCTTCCTCAATATCCATCCTTCTGTACAGAATCCGTCACCTTCCACCATCTCCGGCGACCGCCATCACCGAGCATTACGCAGACTCGAAACTCTCAAAGCTTCTCACATCAGACAACTCAGTGCTTCGTCTCCTTCTCCGTCACCGTCGCCACCACCGGTAACTAACTGACTATATGTATATATATCGGCACTCTTTTATACAATGTGATAACAGTAAAATAATTGGCTTTTGTGTTGGTGTGAAGTCGGGTTCAAATGTTCCACGGGTATATCTAGCGACGTCGTACGGGGCGGATCCGACGGGGAAGGTGGACAGTACAGAAGCTCTTCTTGCAGCGATGGCGGATGCGGCGAAGGGTAACAGTGAAGGGTTCTTGTTGGACGGCATTGCTAATCTTGGAGGCGCACAGCTTAATCTTCAGGGCGGGAACTACTTGATCAGCAGGCCCCTCCGGCTGCCGGTCGCCGGCGTCGGAAACTTCATGGTACGTTTCTCCTGGTTCGCTTCACTCATTTTACAGCTCATAATTTCGCAAGCAACATAAGAAAGTTAAGAAAATTGCATTTCAGGACAAAAAGTTTGCAAGACTTTAATTAAATAATTCAAAAAATAATTCCTCCCGAAAGCCTAAAAAAATAAAAAAATAAAATATTTTTGGTAAAAAATAATTATAATTTAAATTTTTCTAAACAATTATTTGGACCTTGTAGGTGTGATTTTATCAAGAAGCAAAATTATTTTTTTGTTTTTGATAAAAACATGGAAAGTGCCGTGAATTGGTAATATTTACAAAATGAAGCATTTAGTATGGTGTGTTACTTTCTTGAAAAATGTACTTGGAAAGTCTATGCATGGTGCCACGTGGCGTTGGTTGGTAAGACTAGGACGGAGAATCCAATATCGGCTATGCGACGGAGGTGGTTTCTGCATTTAGTATAGTTTAATGGTAATGGTGAAGGGTTGGCCTAACCTCAATTTGAAAATTGGCCTCACCAATGAATGACTATATGTGTGTGTATATGTATGTATATAGGTATATATATTAGTGATCTTGTTGAAAATTTTGGGATCTTTCTTTTCCCTTTTCTTCTGCTAATTTACTCTTCTCTCAACAAAAGTATGCCTTGGCCTTTGGAGCTATGTCAAAAGATACCACATTTACAGAGAGTCAAGGGGAAAAAAACATGTTATTCTCCCTTTTTCAAAATTAATAATTTATCTATTTAAATGTTGAACAATTATTTCATTCAAAATTTTTAATATTCATCAATCAATAAAGTTGTCATATATTTCATACAAGATAGCTGCCATTGTTTTATTTTATATGCTACTTTTGTTTCCTATTAGAGGGCATCAGAAATTTTTAGTTCTGAATATAAGTTACTAACTAACTAGTTAATTGCTACTTTTTACTTTTACGCTTGTTAATAATTAATGTTTAGTGTTAAAAAATTCATCAAACTTTGTGCTAAAAGTTGGAGGTAATCTTAAAAAAAATTATCACGATAAATTTAATGTTTTAACTGCTTTGATATATGAGAATTAGTTACAATAATAAGGACAAAAAAGAGTAACTACTAATTAATTAGCTACTACTCAGTTTTTACAATACTCCCTCCGTCTCTTTTTATAAACAACATAAGATTTTATTATATAAATCAAAAAGTTGGTTAGAGATAATAAATAGATAAAAATTAAAAGTTCTTTATTCAAAATACCTTTATTGATAGAGGAGAGAGAATATGAGAAACATAATAAAAAAATTATTATAATAAAAAGAATTATGAAAGAAAGAAAATGTGTGATAGAAAGAGATGATAGTTGGAAAATGAGATAATAAATATATTAAATATTAGAATAAGTAATCAATGGGATAAAATAGAAAATTTGCTACAAAAATTTAAGATAACTTATAAATATTACTTATATTTAAGGATAAGAGGGGATGGTAGTTATTGCTTATAAATTAAAAATAGACGGAGGGAGTATATGCAGTATCAAGGGCAAATGAAATATTTTTATGATAAATAATATTTTTCTGATATTAAATATAACATATTTCAAAAGTGAAATATATGATAGCCCAATATATAACTCACGTGTTAATGTTTTTTCCCAAAAATAACTCATCCTTATTTAAAGATTACAGGAAGAGTTTGATTTTTAAATTGATAGTATTAATAATAATTAAAGATAAAAAATGGAAACTCATTAAATTTTAATATAATGGAAAAAGCAATTTTGCGTAGTTTAGATTTGGGAGTTAAAATTGTTGGCAAGAAAAACAGATTTGGGAGTTAAAATTAATTTATATTTAAGATTAGAAGAAATATTTTATAATTTTAATGTATATTTTACATTTGGTGAAAACAGATGCATGGTGGGACCCTACGAGCCTCCGACAGCTTTCCATCAGATGGGTACCTCATTGATTTATCAACCAGCAATGGAAATGATAAGACTACCCCTTCTTCATCTTACAATTACGAGTTCATCACCTTCAAGGACATTCTCTTGGATTCCAACTTCCATGGAGGAGGCATCTCAGTGATCAACTCTCTCAGAATCGGCATTGACAACTGCTACGTCACCCACTTCACCACCAACGGAATCCTCGTCCAAGGCGGCCATGAAACCTACATCAGAAACTCCTTCATCGGCCAACACATCACCGCCGGCGGCGACAAAGGCGAAAGGAACTTCACCGGCACAGGAATCAACCTCCAGGGCAACGACAACGCCGTCACCGACGTCGTCATCTTCTCCGCTGCCATCGGAATAATGGTCTCCGGTCAGGCCAACATAATCTCCGGCGTGCATTGCTATAACAAAGCCACTGGCTTCGGAGGCACAGGGATTTATCTCAAACTTGCTGGGTTAACACAAACTAGGGTTTTAAATTCTTACATGGATTACACCAGTATAGTTGCAGAAGACCCAGTTCAGCTTCATATTTCTGGTACTTTCTTCCTCGGAGATGCCAATGTTGTCCTAAAATCGGTCAACGGAGTAGTCAATGGAGTAACCATCGTTGACAATATGTTTGCTGGGTCTGACAAAGGGGTTGAAAACGTTCATCTGGATGAGTCGAGTGGGAATAATTTTAAGCAAGTTGATCAGGTTGTGGTGGACAGGAACGTTGTGAAGGGGATGAACCTGAAGAGTACTGTGGCGAAGAAGACAGTGCAAGCGAATGGGACTTCATTAATGGCGGATTTTAATGATGTTTTGCTTTTCCCTAACCTTATCAAACATGTTCAGTATTCATTGAGCTTCGAAGGCGACACTTTCCCAAGTTATGTTCTGAGGAATGTGTCTGATAATAGTGTGGTGATTCAGACAAGTGAAGCGGTAGTGTCTGCAAGTTTATACGTTGCTGTGGATCAAAGCATATAATTGAAAGTTGCAAGCTTTTGGCCTTGTGATATTGAAGAGGAGAGAACTGCACAAAGAGTTCTTAATTAATTAATTGCCTAAAGTAATTTGTTTTATAAGGTTTTAGATTTAAATGCTTTATAGGATACCATTATTTTTAATCAGCTTGGCTAGTAAAATTCCACCAAGACTGATTCAATTTGGAAATGTAAGCACAGCTCTTGCACAACTTCAATTTTTTCTGTCATCATCACAATTCCAATTAATTTCATTTTTATAATTTAATATTCTATGATATATTACTGCCTCATATTCTTAATATAAGAGCTAGTGGGTAGGTTGAAATTTATCTTAAATATAAGACCTCAATCCCTTTTATCCCCCAAATTTATAATTTTTTTTTTAAAATATTCTTATTGATTGTAAGGCGTTCTTATTAAGGGTAACACTAAAGCCCATGCTTAAAAAAGGTAATTTAAGTCAGGAAATACATATTTGCTATAAATAACCAAATTGATTAATTTTTTTAATCTCCTCAAATTAGATGTATATCTAACTCTTACATTTGGGACATGAGGCAATGTTTGATTAATATATTAGAGCTTGTTTTGAGACTTACACCTGTTATTGCAAACGAAAAGTTGGATTATTAAGGACCTAATTCTATTAAAGAACAAACGAATAAAGTTTTATGCAACTTTCCCTTGGTTCTATACACACACACGAATTGTTTTTTTAATTGATAACGTGATTCTATTCACAAGAGATATTAATAGCATATATTTAAATTTATAATATCTTCTTTTATTTTTAATCTCATTAATTATTGGTTAGCCTCTACATTTAATTATTGTTCTTAAGTAATTTTAATCAATTTTCTTGTCAACACATGGATGGTTTATTTAAATGTTATAAAAGGAATCGGTAAAACTACATTCGAAGTCATTTTTTGAAATATCCTGCCACATTCGCTTTTTTGAAATGACATATGTGTGTGGCAGTTTTTAGAAATGGATTTGGGGGATTAGTTCGACAAACTTGAAATAGCAACTTCTCACAATGTCAAAAGTTTGAAGTTTAAACTTTAAACCAACAAAGGATGTCCCATCTCAGGCCCCAAAAAAAAAAAAAATGTCCCATCTGGTGACGAGTCTGGACTATTGAGTTGAACGGGACTAATAATGCGCATTTATATATATACCATTTCCGATCCTAATTATAAGAACTAATTAACTAATTTGAGAATACTAAAAAAATAAGTTAAGTTATTTATTTGTAATAAATTGGTATTTTCTTTCTTAAAATATCCTTGTTAATCAAGTGTATTGGTAGGAACTATCATTATTAGAAAGAGAATCTTGAAAAAAAAAGTATAAATATGAAAGACAAAGTGAATTAGGGTCTTATATTTAGGATCAAAATAAAAGTCAAATAAATTCTTATATTAAGAACTAGAGGTAGTATATATATATTTTCAACAGGAGCATGACGATTTAAGTTTTTTTTCCAACCAGAAAACGATTTACGTTTAATATTGACATGTTTGTATTTGTATACGTTTAATTATATAAAACATAAAGAATGCACACATATATATAGTGTTGTTCATTTTATTTCTAAATAAATTATTTAAATATAATTAAGTAAATTATTTCTAGTATGGAGGAAGAATAAAAAGAGATGGCAGAGAGCTCTGCGGGGCAAGTGATAAAACCATCCCTTGATATATTTTAATTTGTTTTATTTTACTATATTTTCTCTCATCACATATATAAGATATAGTTTTTGGGTATACATACATGATTCTATTTATATGAAACACTTAAAGAATATCTAAATTTTTTTTTCTATTTTTGCCAATCCTAGTTATACAATATATTAACGCATTAATTACTCACACTCTCTTTCTCCTCATTCTCTCCATAAATATTAAATAAGTAGATTTTTCTTAAAAAATGCTTTTTTTTTTTTTTACAAAATCGTTATTTTAAACTAATTTTAAAAAACTTTTTTATATACACAATTTAATTATTTATGTATTATATATCAGACTTGTGAACATATAACTTCAAGACCTCTTAAGAATCTGTTTGGTATGAGAGAATTGAAAGTGAGGGAAGGGAAGAAAATTTTTTACCGAAATCAATTTAAAAAATTGAAGGGGGATTAAAAATTTTTTATTAATTTTTTACCAAAATTTTATGACCCCATTTTCCTAAATTTTTTAAATTGAACACATTAAGATTTTCTCCTTCCTTTCCTCCTCTTCAATTCCTTCATACCAAATAATGGGTTAAAGATTGGTACAAACATATACAATAACAATACTAGTACTCTTTAACCCTTTGGTGGCAAAATAACATACTACCTCCATTTTTTAATATAAGAGATAATTAACTAATTTGAGTATATTAAAAAAATTATTTTAGTTAGTTATTTGTAATAAATGTGGGTTGTCTTTCCTAAAATACCCTTAATGATCAAGTATCTTTTGATGAAATATTTAACATGTACAATTATTACAAAGACTACTTCAAAAAAATAGATAAAATGGATTAATTTATTATATTTGAAATCAAATTGAAAATCAAACTAGTTCTTATATTAAGCATCAGAACTAGTATAGTAAAGGCGAAGAAATGTTTTGCACAAATGTTCTTCGGAAATTATTTTCAGTGAAAACTGGTTTACAACTGCTGCCAGTAACTTTTTCTCTTTCAGATGAATTTATTTTAAAAATTTCTCATGAAAAATTTATTATTTTTATTTAATTTATTATCATCTCTCACCAAACACTTCAACTGCATAATTAATTCCTCATGCTCATTGGGCCTAAAAGGCCTTACCAGTAACAAAACAAAACTGGCTTGAACAGGACCCGGACCTCATTTATGGAGCCAGTGGCAGTTTCTTTAGTTGTTTCTCATTCAATCCCAAGCCTAAGAAAATCCCTAAAACATCTATAGGATTATATTTTAATTATTATTTTATACTACCTTTTTATATTCATCAATATACTGCTAATATCACTAGGTAATATACAATTTATTATAAGTTTTATTATTCATAGCTAGTGAATAATCTGAATTATTCCTTAAACGTTGTAGATGCATTTAGTTTTTAAAATAAAACTATATAAAAGTTACTTCTTGTTATAGATTTTTTACTTTATTTTATATCCAATTTTTCTTCACTTTATATACCAAAACAAGAAATTAAATGAGGAAGAGCGTGCATGAATGCTGATATAGGACTTTGGAATTTAAAAGGGATATGATTACAGTTAATATTTTTGCTTGCGAAGAAATTTTACCATTTTAATAAGGCTAATAAGGTCAAATCCTGGCAAATTTAGACTCACCTGGTCTCGTCTCATTCAGAACTAATTTCAGTGCTCATCATCTCGATGAACATCATAAACTCATCATATTTGAACTGTCTATATTAGATTTAAATGGTTTAGATTTAAAATCTTTAATTAATTATTTTTAAATATAAAAAATTATTGTTTGAAAGAATAATAGTCAAGAAATTGTCTTTATTTTAAATTATATATATATTAAAATAATGATTTTGAATAAATAAAAATAAAAAAGAAATCAAATATGGACTATCTAAATAAGATACGGGCGATTCATATTTGATAAGCTTAAAGTACTCATCAAAATTATAAGTATTAAAACCGGTTCCCTTCTCATTCTCAGTATAATTTTCATCTGTAGCATTACTCAGATGAGAAAGAAAATGATCTCAGTGGCCTTTTACAAGCAAAATTCTAATTTGTGAAGAATTTTTTTAAAAAAAATTAACAGTACAAAGAAATTGAATTTGAAATATAAGTGCAAAAAGTTATATATGGAAAAAAAATTTACAGTGCAAAATGAACATATTAGAATATTTTGAAACTTAAATGCACATGTTATAATATTTTAAAACTTTTTTCCCATAGAAAAAAATATTTTAAAACTTTTGCAAAAAGTTAAAGTTTTCACATGTCAAACATCTTTAATAAAACAAACAAGAATAATAATTATAAAGTGAAGAAGCAGAATCACTTTCCTTAAAGGTAAATCAACCCGTGCTCAACAGACTGGACTCTGTATGAATGGATCTTAAACTTTCCATAGCTTTTGATACATTATGTTATTTATCCACCCATTTTCTTTGTTGTTCACTTATTAGGTTTATATATATATATATATAGTTTGTTTCCTTCCTCTTTTTCTTAGCTGTCAAAACCAATTAATTTCTCTGCTGATGCTTATAGGTTTGCCGGTGTGAGATTGGATTCCCACCAAAATAAAAAAGGTGACAATGCATTTTCGACTAATAAACAAGGTCGCATTTATTGTGATAGTTGTCATGAAGGAGAAATTCATAATGTATTATTATTACTACTCTCTTCTCAAATTAAGAGATCAAAATGAAACCTATAAGATTAAGGGTCTATTTGGTTCAATAAATGGGAGAAAAGGAGGCACATTCTAACTTTCCCTGTTTGGATTGATTAGAAGGGAAGTTTTTGTGTTACGTTGCTTGATTCAAAAGAGAAGGGAAGAAAAAATATTTTGCATAATAAGTAACATTTTTTTTTAATAATTAAGCTAGAGTATCTACCACTGATGAAAGTAATATACTCCTCTTATTTACAAGGTAGAGAAAAAATGTTTTTCTTTGTTCTCTTTATAAGTCTTTTTTGACTGAGGAAAAATATTCCAGTAAGAAGGAAGAAACTTACAAAGGAAAAATAAACAGCAACGCACAATAAAAAAATAAAAGCCCAAACAACTAAGCCCACAAAAACAAAGCCCTAACCTTGAACAAAAGAACCAGGAAAGTACAGAGCCGCCGTCAGCCCGTCACCACAGTCACCTACCACCTCCCAAAACCAGCGTACCAAAACCCACGGGAGAGAAAGACGCCGAGAGTAGCAACAAGGCCATCATATGGGGTGGGGGTTTAAAGAACTACCCATTAGGACCCAACCCTTTTATCGGCAAGAAATCATCCAAAATAGTTGTACAAGAGAGAGTGTGGGAGAGACCCATTGTTACAGAAACATCCATAGACAATGGCAAAGAAGACATAGTAGAGGGAAGGGGAAAATTGACCAATAACAACCAAGCAAGCAGCAGCACTAGATGGACAAAGAACTTTCTCCCTATTGCTTTGAACGTGCCACCACTAAACAGAGCCAGCCAAAGCCAT